GGTACTAAAAAATACCAAAGTGTCGATCATCTCAAGCAAGCGCTTCGCCGAGAATGGGACAAAATACCGCAGAGCCACTTTCGGGCAGCGTGTGACGGTTTCATTGGCCGTTTGAAGGCCATAGTTCGTGCCAAAGGTGGCCAATTCGAACAAATCTAAACCGATTCTCAAATTTGATGTTATTTCCATTTTTTGCTTTCATTCAATAAAATTTAAAAAAAATGAAAAAATTATGGCGTTTTACTTTGTTGCAGTTTTTTCATCTCACCTTGTAGTTCAATTAGCAGCAATAGAAAAAATTACTCATTTTGTATATCAAAGAGAGCAAAAATTATTGGGAAAATGAGTATATTCAAATTAGATACAGATTGTGCTACTTATAAAAATAGTCCTTCTTCCCTAAGTGGAAAATGTATATACCTAATAATAACCGATTTTTATAATTTAAAAAAAAAATATATCATATAAAATACATTTTGTTAAATGCCAGCTTAAATGAAACTGTCATATTAAACGTTCACACCTATAAGCAAGTAACTAAACACCATTAAAAGTTTTTTAATTACTAAGCTGTTGTTTATTACTGAGAAACTTAAGTCACTTTCGTGGACACTTTAACTTTCATAGACATAGGTTCAAATAGAGAATGCACTACTACTGCCCACAAAGGTATTTTAATTAAAATTGGAAATTTTATACGATTTATGTGTGGGTCCATAAATCAAACCAATTGAATTAAATAGATGTGAAAATTTTTACGCTGTAAGTCATAAGAATTGGGACATAAGTAAAATAAAACATTTTAACTCTTTCAAGAACAAAATTTTTTGAAAGCATATTCATTTACATTGCTATTCTAAAACCAAAAAAAAGTCTATCTTTGAATTTGATAACTTGTAGAACTTGTGATATTTTTTTTTTGTGCGGAAAGGAAGTTTTAAAATGCCTAACGCACCGTCACTATGTCGTCACAATACTGTTATGCCATGTTTCTATCCTGGAACTTTAAAGAGAATAAATCAGGGTAGGGCCCTTGTGTTGGTTATTCATTAAAAAATTTTTTTCCTTTGTTAGCCTGCGTCCGGGACTCGCTTAGGTTTATTTGTCTCTTTTTTTAAATTAGTCATTTTTGAGATCACATTTTTCCGAGTATGATTGTAGGACTTTAGATCTATTAAGAAAGTAAGCAGTAACATTAATAACTAAAAAAAAAGTAAAAATCTGTATGTAAGAATGTAGCGAAAATAATTAGAAAAAAACATTAACATTAGAAAAATAACATTAAATCTCAAATGCCAGAATAATTAATAATTCTATAATAATTCAATTAAAAATGTCCTTATTACAAAGGGGGCTTAATTATGGATAATTTTATGTTCACAGAAAGACAGTTAAAAATAGTTGTATATAAACAAACTAAATATTTAAGAATTAAATAACGATGGATAATTCACACTTTTCAAAAGAAGATTCAAACATCGAGGAAATGATTCTTTAATAAATCCTAAAGATTTTAGTCCGTCCTTGCACTACATAGGCCACACTTGTCGTAGCGAAAATTTAATCATCGCGAAAATGACTTGAATATTTAGTATTCAAGAATATTATTAAACTAGTGCTCTGGTGCTACATTATTTAGACCTCTACATATGGAATACGGGTACCTTAAATGGTGGAGTAAGGTTCGACACAAAATTGAGTAAATTGTGTCATCAGGGAAATAGTTATAAGCAACTAATTTTTAAACTATTATCTTAAAGAAACACTAATACTATATTCGGATTTCACAATCAAAAGACTTTAAGTACCAATTAACACACAATTAAAATTATGTGTTTACACTTTAAAGACTAAATAGTTTCGTTGAAGTAGGAAATAGCACGAAAAATTCAGATACGTATAATAAAATCTTATGTGCTAAAAAGGGAACTATTTTTGCTATGTATGTAACTTTGAGAAAAATTTTTTATATATGTTATCATCATATATCACACAATTAGAGAACTAAGGTGAAAATAAGTTATTTGAAATTTTATAAATGTTGTGAAACTTAATCACATATAAAGGGTTGCCACCAGTTCTAGGAAGTAAGTTTGTTCATATATGTGGACTGACCTTAAATTAACTACTTGTAGTATAGTTAACAATTTTAATAAAAAAATATTGTTTTTATGATTGAAAAGTTATATGCACTAATAGCAATGTTAAAAGCGAAAAAGCATAAAAAAGATATTTATTTATTTATTTGCAGAAAGGTTCGTTTGTAGTTTATAATAAACATACATGACTTACAAAGCTGTTCAAACTCCTTTAAATTGTAGAAATAAATTTGAATTTCATTTGAATTTTAATGCTGAACATAAAATCGATTTGAATATTATAAGAACGTACAACTTGTGATGTTTACAATCACAAAACAAACAGAAAAATTATATTTACTTTTCATTTCACATGTGAGGAATTATAAACCATATATATATATGTATATAAGAGTTTATACATTTGTATTTATATATATCACATATGATTTAAAATATTTGAGTTGGTATTTTTGTTGCCTTTAGCGAAATTGTTGAAAATGTGCGTGACATATTTTCAGTTATGCAGTACGCAGGAATATCCTTGAGAAATGAAATTGGGTCTTCCCGTGCAAATAAACATTTTATAAAATTTTAAAAGGAATAAATAGGATTTGTAGAAGTTACTTTTGGAAAAAAATTTTTAAATTTTGTCAAGCTTGCATTTTGGTATGTTAGTTTTTTAAAATATATAATATTTATATAAAGCGACAAAAAGACACAAGTCTCTTACTAAAGTCTCTAATTTGTACGCAAAACAGCAACATTACTCTCTAGCTCTAAGAGACTGTAAAAAAAAATGTTGCTACTGCGATAAGTAATTTATTATGAACCAGCATCGAAAGTTTCAACCAATATTTTAGCAATTTGTCAAAAGTTGTTTGTAATTAAGAGTTTGAACAAAATTAAAATGTTTCATAAAAATTGGGAAAAACCAATATTAAAAAAAAAACAAAAAGTTTTAAGAATGTTTAAAAAGGTTAAAAAGCATATTTAAAGCGTATAATTAATTTTTTGATTTATTAGTTTATGCCTTAATAATTTATACTTATTAAGGCATACTTTTAACTATAATTTAACTATAATTAACTATAATTTAAGACTTGTTAATTGTGAAAATATATTGTTTGATAGATTGCAATAATGATGTCAATATGTAAACAAACGATTTTAACAAGAGATTCTAGCGAGAGACTTTAGCAAAAGAGCTCAGTAAAAATCTTTTGAAGTAGACTTTAGTAAGAGACTTTAACACCAGAGTTTTGTAAGAAACTTTAATAAAAGAAAACACCAATAAACTTTAACAATTGGTTTTGGCAAGAGATTTTAGCAAGATACTTTAGCAAGAGAGTTTAACAAAATACTTCAGCAAGTGATCTCAGCTAGAGACTTATTATTTTATGCCGCCTACTGTTTTTAGCTTACTACATCGTCGTATAATAATTGATGCATGTGGAGTGTACCATTTTATATATAAAGCTTAATGTATAATTTAATAGATTATCCTCAGTTACCTATGGACGATGAGAAATGTAATAACAACATTTCGTTTAATTAATTAAGTGTAAAGCTGTGGTGTTTACAATAACTTTTTAATTTAAATTTTATTCCATGGCTAATTTGATAATCAAATAAATTATTCTTTTACAATTAAAATATTGCTTTTATTTTATGTATTTAATTATTTTTTTATCTAAAACTAACTAAAACACATGCTACTGGATTTTGTGGAAAAAGTTAATGATAGGCACTTCAGTGGCTATTCGCTTTGCTGCATACATGTCACATGCACATGTCAAATGCAATCACTAATTATCCAAAGTGTCAAATGGTATCAAATGCGGAAAACAAACCTTATTTTAAAACTAATGTTGAAGCGCATTTATTTTAAATTAAGCCATAAACAGACCAAAGAACTACAAATAATTTTCATTCATTTAAAACAAAGCGAAATGAGGAAAATTAGTGTGAAATTAAAATTTAACATTTATCACAAACACTAACGCCTTTAGGAGTTTTTTGACGCCGCTTGTTAAGCATTTTGCGTATATAATTCAACCAAATATTTACAAAATGGAGGCAGGCACATTAATTGCCAAATAAAATGCAGGCACGCACAACTGCATATGTGATTTCTGCATGAATGTGCATGAATCTGCAGGTATGTGAACAATGCAATTAAATTTATAACAGCTGCTACAATCCCAACTCCAACTCCAACACCAACACCAACACCAGCACCAACAAACCAACAAAAAACATGCAAATCTTTTAATTTTCATTTTAATCAAATGAAAAAAAAATTGTAAAACCATATCAGAAGCGCCTACGGGTAGGCAATGAATTTTGTCAATTACAACACAGCTGCATGTGCAGTATGCCTTTTTTTATGACGCTCATTTTAAACGGTTGAGCTATTATTTCTGTGAAGGGTTTATTAAATACACGCAACATGCAATAACACACAACACATACATACATACACACCTACACACAACACACAACACAAGCACACGCTAAGAGAAATGCAATACAAACGATGGCAGTCAGTTACATTTTGGTAATGCATTTTTGTATATTGAAATAAATGTGCTGTTCCATAGCTGTCTAAAATGGTTATTTAATTTATTTTCGAATTGTGC